AATTAGTGCCTTACCAGAATTAATCCCGGCTACTATTTTAATTTTCCTTTTCAATTTATATAGAAGAATATCATCAAGATACTTAAAAACACGTGATTAATTTATTATGGTTTCATTTTGAGATGTAGATAAATGTGAATATGTAGAGAGGAAGTGATGAGGTATAGTTATCTCCACAACAGAGTTTAATTAGAGTGCACCAGTGTGTACGATTCACCTTAAACTCAATTTTGATAGGTATTAAAATTGAAGTGAATAGCTATTCTAAAGTAATTTGAATGCAACCAGCTGAATCTCTACTAATAGTGCATAGGTAAGAGATGTGAAAAACTGATTATCTATTTAAAAATACAAATTAGGACTTTTACTGTTGGAAATTATGTTTCTAAACCCATTACAGACTTAAAAAAATTTTTTTTGTGGTAGTAATTCCCAAGATGGTAACATAGGAGCCTCTGAATTTCTCTCCACCCACAGATGCACCAAATGGACAAAACATACAACTAACCATAGAGAAATTTCCTCTGAAAGAAATCTACAAACTAGCTGAACACCCTGGGTGGATGAGAAAACCCCTACCCTGCAATGGGCAGGAAGGACTGAGATACACACTTGCCGTAAAATCCCACCCTCAGCAAAGCGCCATTCAATCTGGAGAGAAACCCCAACTCCCAGCTGTGAAAACAGAGCATACCAAAATTTATGAGATCCAGCAAAAGCAGGGCTGGCTGGAAGTTTATAGTGATGAACACCTACAGGAAGGGGAAAAAACTCACAAATAAACAACCTAACTTTACACATTTACCTAGGGGGAAAAAAGAACAAACTAAGCCCAAAGTTACCAGAAGAAAAGACATAGCAAAGATCAAAGCAGAAATAAATGAAATGGAAACTAGATAAACAATAGAAAGTATCAATGAAATGAAGACCTGGTTTTTGAAAGGAAAAAAAGTGGCTAGACTGAGAAAAAAATAGAGAAGGCTCAAATAATAAAATTATAAGTGAAAAAAGAGACACAGTTTACAACTGACATCACAGAAATATAAAGAATCATAGAGATTGCTAAAAACAACTTTATGCCAGCACACTGGATAACCTAGAATAAATGGTTAAATTCCTGGAAACATAGAACCTACCAAAACTAAATCATGAAAAAATAGAAAATCTGAACAAATAATGAGTAAGGAGATTGAATCAGTAAAACAACAACAACAACAACAACAACAAAACCCACCTCTCAACAAAGAAAAGCCCAGGACCAAATTTCACTGGTGAATTCTACCAGATATTTAAATAAAAAAATTTTTTGTCAATTATATGCAAATAAAGCTAAAAAAAAAATTTGTTTCTAAAATTGTACAGAATCAATGTTCAGCTGAGTTTCTTAGTAATATCTGTTCCATTTAGAAGATGTTGAAACACTGAAATTAACACAGGTCCTAGGTTCTTTGAATAAGTTAAAGTATTAAATTATGTTAATAATATGTTAAATATAATGAATAGCAAAAAAATTAACTTTATTTACAAAATAAATAAATGATTCCCTAACAAATTATTCAATCATTAAATGACTTCCTATATCTGTTAATTATTAATTAATAGCCATTAATATTAAAACACCTTATGGAGTTGCATAATGTTTTCTGAAAATTCCAAGGTTTTTTCTCATTCAAGGAAAATCTTTACAATCATTTGCTTACATTAAATGACCATTAAAATTTTTTTTTAACTCTACACCACATTAGGAAAGGCGTGTTTGCTTTAGGAGCATTTACAACATCAGAGAAACCAACAAAGTATCCATAAATAATACAACGTGATGGTAATTAGTAGGATTCAAACATTCACCATGTACAAGACACTCATCTAAGTGTGAAAGCTCATTTTATTCTAACAAGAACTCCATGATGTAGGTATTATTGTTCCATTTCACTAAAGAGGAAACTAAAGCAGAGAGAGATGAGTAATCAAATGCACCAACTCATAGCTAGTAAGTGGTAGAGCAGATGTGAAATCCAGTCGGACAGCAGAGCCAGTGGTTTTAATATCTACACTTTGCTGTTAATGTTTTATTAAATTAAGTATTGCCTTAAGCCCCGGAATAATTATAAAATGAAAATACTCTCTTGTAAATTAGGTTCTGTTTCTCTAATGGCTTATTAAATAGAAGATACTTACGATAGTCTCAGGAAACTGAGAACATTTTTCTTTCCAGTTGAAACTCATCCAATGGAAACATGACACAGCAGATACCTCTATGGATTTCTTAAAGTGAAAATATGTATTTACTGAGGACTAGACTTGGAAGTCCTAGATCTCACAAATTGCTTTGGGAATGTGAGAAAGTCATTATTTTCTGGCTCTCCAGTAATTTATTTTGAATTTGTTAAATTCATTGATGTGTGAACTGGTTATCGAAGCTTGATAAATAGCTTATAAATCACTTTGAAGTTGGCAGAAGTAAATATTAATGAGTCAATTTTCAAGGAATTTAAAGTCAGTATCTCCTTCTTCTATTGCCATAAGTTTAAAAGAGAATCTCAGTTGTTTTATTTAGAAAAGAATCTACAACTTATTAGTAATGATGAATATTTCTCAAAATAGTCATAGGACTATTGATTATATCAAATCAAATGATTTGCCTAAAAGAAAACAATGTTCTTTATAAATCTACCACAGAGTTTCATATGACAGAAGTCCTGTTTAAAACTTACTTATAGTGGCACCCGGGTGACTCAGTTGGTTAAGCATCCTACTCTTGGTTTGGTCTCAAGTCATGATCTCAGGATTTTGAGATCAAATCCCAGGTCGGGCTCCACACTCAGCAGGGAGTCTGCTTGAGATTCTCTCTCTCCCTCTTCCTCTGCCCCTCCCTCTGCTCACCCACACTCTCTCTCTGGTCTAAAATAAATAAAATCATTTAAAAAATAAATAAAAATAAAACTTATTTATAAAATACAAGTACAATGATGATTCTAATCCTTTAAGATACTAAAGTAACCTGCTTCCCTGAGGTTTGCTCAGGGCTGGCCTTAGAATAGGGTAAGAAAAAAGCAAGCATTTCCAGGACGAGTGTCTATCAATGTCAGAGCCTTACCGACATTATCCCACCTGAACCATTTCTACTTCCTCCACACAAGACCAAACAGAATCCTTTGTTAGTAGGTGTTAGTAGCTGTCCCAGGCCACATGACAAATGACTAGGCAACTCAGGACTTGAAAACATGTTTATCTAAGTACGAACCTGTGTTAGTTTAGTGTTTGAAATAGGAAAAACAAAATTTTCTTTTTTTTTTTCCTTTTTAAAGATTTTATTTATTAATTTGAGAGAGAGAGACTGAGAGGGGTTAGGGTCAGAGGGAGAAGCAGACTCCCCGCCGAGCAGGGAGCCCGATGCGGGACTCGATCCCGGGACTCCAGGATCATGACCTGAGCCGAAGGCAGTCGCTCAACCAACTGAGCCACCCAGGCGCCCCGGAAAAACATAATTTTCTACGTGATATATTTTAAGGATACAAACAGGCCCTCCAGGTCTTGAAAATACATAATAAAAGGCATTAAAACCTATTTACTTATGTGTATTAGAAAACTCTGTCCCTTCCAGGTTACATAGCATGCCCCAAATTAATAATCAAATCTGGACTTGATTTCAGAGCTCTTGAGCCTGCCTTCCCTTCTACAAATACTTGACATCATAATAGTCATATTTGTTTCCTGGATCTTCTTTCTCGTAACTAAGAAATACTCAAAAACTTAAACGTCTTTTATACCTCATTTGAGTTGGTTTATTACATCCTTTCCAAAAGCTCTGGTGCTTATCTGATCTCCAGAAAGGAACGAGATTGCAGAAAGATTCAGACCATTGCATATTGTTGGGAATCTTGTTCACTGTCCAAGGACACCCAGCCGAATAAACTGGGAAGCAGAAGTTGAAATCCAGCTCACTCTACCCACCAAGCCATATAAGGGTGTGGCATGCACCTAAAGAGGGCACCATGTCTAATCTGCATAAGGGCACCTTATAGGCTCACACAGGCCCTGCAAAGACCCTGGAAGCTAAGAAGAAAGGTGAAGAGATGACTGCACATAAATATTTCAGATCCAATATCTACCAGAAATTAAAGTATAACCTATAAGGCTAATGATTAGGATGTTTATTAATTCAGTAAATTAGGACTGGGGGGCAGGGAGATGTCTTCTCTCAGCACCAAGGAATATAATTTTGTTTCAGGAGAAATGATTTAGGCTAAACATCAGCAACAGGTCCTACTTCACTATATGGGGTATGAGAATGTTACTCAGGAGCCTGTGAATATATAAGAAAATGACTCTACAGAAGGTGGGAGAAATAGAAAACTCCCATGCCCTTTTACTTGATTTTGTTTCAAACACTTTCTAAACTCTTCTTGGAATAAAACACCATGATGTTGCATATAGCACATTTTGAAAAATCCTTACACCATCACTGTGACAGATTCTGAAGAGTCTCTGAAGAAACACTTTTGAACATTAAGCTGTCAAGTCTTCATTTAATGAATATATCATTGGCATTTTCTATTTTAATGCTGAGCACCTCTGAAATGCTAACAATAACTACCCATTTTTTGAGTAACAGACACCGTACTAGTTAGTTTGCATACATATTGTCTATCTTCCCAAAAAAGAATACTCCAAAAGTTACGTGTTACTGTTCTCTTTTTCTCATTGAGGAGACAGGCTCAAAGAATCTAAGGCATCTGGGAATTCCTGGCAGACAGCAGATGCAGATCCATGCTGGTCCCGATTTTCAACCTGAGTCCTCTCTCCCTCACTGACCTAACACTAGGAGAAGGCTTCTACTTAGAGGAGAAAGTGGAAAGTAGCTAACCAACCATCTACTGTAAGATACAGAAAATATATCTTGACTCAAACATGGCATCCCATGCATTCTCCTACTCTTTCCTGAGGTATTAACTTGTTAAGCTGCCATCATTTTCAAGTACATGATGATGTGCTTATAATCAACGGAACTTTATGTACACACCTAATGCCTGAGCTCTAAGCCGTCGGTCAGGAGATGTGGCGGGGCTGCTTACCTGTTCCCATAACTTCTGTCCATTGAGGTGAGCCTGCATCACGGCGTCGTTAACGAGCACGTGGAAGTTCAGGAGCACGTGTTCAATGTCGTATGTTCCGTGCATGGCATCTGATAGTTCCTCCAAGGACCGGATGTAGGCATGCCAGTGCGGATTCAGCTCTGCCGTGTGTGCCAGGCAGCCTCTCACGACGTTGAGGCAGTACCCCATGCAAGGCTTACTGAGAGTCAGGCCCTGGCAGAGAGGGCAGTACTGCATCCTCAGGAGGGCTCTGCTGCACTCTTTGGAGACGTGCAGATGGTCTGTGGTATTGATGACTTCGATGCCCAGATTCAGCGCCTGCAGAAACGTGCGGCTAGGCAGCAGTGATCTCCCCATCTGCCCCACTACTCTTTTGGGAATATTACCAAATGGACTAACATCCCGGCGGGCCGTCCGGATGCATTCTGAGTATTCCAGGGAACTGTCCGTCACTCCAGGACTAATGAGGTGATTGTAGACGAGAGGGAAAAGACTGTCAAAGAATCTGTTTATGAACTCTTCAGGATTAACATCTGCACCAAATAAATAGAGCCCCACATCAGTGAACAACTCCTGAACTGAGGCTGAAGCCTCTAGGGCCATGTTCCTGTAGGTGTTGCAGAAGAGAATGCTGGTGTAATTCTCTGCTTGTCTGATGAGAGTTTCGAGGGCTTCTGTAACAAAAGCAGAGGTAAAACACGAAAAGGCTTAGTATTCATGTTAAAACTGGGCGTCTGTCTGCTCCAGACAGTAAATGAGCTTAATGCATCCTACCCAACCTAAGGATCCAAATGGGAATGCTCAGCCTACTAACCCCACTTTAGCTTTCCAAGGATAATGGCTGGTCAACGGTGGGCATTAAGTTTTCTAAGATCTATTTCCTAGAGTCAAACATCTTTAGAAAGTATAGAGATAAGAAAGAAGTTATGATATGGTAATTCCCTGCTTATTTTGTTGCACAGTCAGCCATAACCCACCAAAGACAGAAGGAAAGTGTCACTGAGAAGACAATTTCCAACCGTGGGTTCACTGTTGATAAAAGACTGACATTAGATGCTTGATTCAACACCTACTGTATTTTTACAGTTTTTCAATGTCTTTTTTTTCCAGAATGAAAGCTAGTAGATTATACACTAGTTACTGCAAAGAGAAGCTATACACCCACAGGGAAGGCTGATAACCCTGAGACCCCCTAGCATGTTCAAATTAAAAAGAAAGTAAAATATTTCATTGTTAAACAATGCCTTGACTGGCAAACCCTGTTAAGTGGTAGGAAAGTCGTGAGTTGTATTAGTCGATGACAGTAATTGTGTGACCATCTTCTGAACCATATTCTGTTGTTCTTACCACCTTATCACCCAAACACTTTACTGTGGGACATTTTATTTTCTCACTTAGGGAACTGATGCTTCCAAATCAATTTCTCCGTAGAAATAACAGAGCATGATTTATCCACAAATTAAGGAAGGCTGCAGTAATTGGCTGGCAAAAGTTATATTTCAAAACGATAGCTTTAGGCAGCAGTTGAACACCTTGGATATTCTAGTAATTACATTTTATAATTAGCCTAATTATAATAAATAATGATGCTGGACTGTTATCAATACATAATTAATTGTAAAATGCATCAATAAAATTATCTCCCATAACCCCAATCTCATAGTTATTTTTAATTAGGTTGTAAAAGACCACACAGTAATTCAGTAATCAGACCATTGAACATATTATAAAAGGAGATGGAACGACAGGAGAATGAAATGAAATAATAAAAGGCAGAAGTGCAGGGAGAGCTCCTAATAAAGTGGAACTGTGTCCACTTTATTAGTAGTGCATGCATATGCCATGGTGTCCTAAAAACAAACTGCAGCAACAACAAACCAAACCAAACCAAACCAAACACCTTTGTGAAAAGCACAGACAGATAAAATACAGTATCGTGTATTCTGATTCTGTTCTGAGACCATTTAATGTTGGGTTTCAAGCTTTAGTGTGATATACGAAGGTGCTTGCTCCAGACCGAATATTTGTTTCCCCCCTAAAATTAATATGTTTGAAATCTAATCTCCAACATGATGGTACTTGGGAGTGAGGCCTTCAGGAGGTGACTAGGTCATGAGGGTGAAGCCCTCGTGAATGGGATTAGCGCCTCTATAAAAGAGACTCTGGAGAGTTCCTTGGCCCCTTCTGGATGTGAGGACATAGGGAGATGACCATCCGGGAACCCGGAAGGAGGCCCTCACCAGACAATGAATCTGCCAGCACGAGGATCTTGGACGTCCCAGCCTCTAGAACTATGAGAAATAAATGTTTTCTTGCTTATATAAGGCACGCAGTATTCTGGGACACCAGCCTGAACTAAAGAAGGACATCTACCCCATCATCAAAGGCAACAGCTTTTATTTATTTTTTATTTTTTTTAAGATTTTATTTATTTATTCATGAGAGACAGAGAGAGAGAGGCAGAGGCCGAGGGAGAAGCAGGCTCCCCGCAGAGCGGGGAGCCCGATGTGGGACTCGATCCCAGGACCCTGGGATCATGACCTGAGCCGAAGGCAGTCGCTTAACCAACTGAGCCACCCAGCAACCCAAAGACAACAGCTTTTAAAGGTGGTTGCGACTCTGTGGCAACACAGAGTCCTACACACTCTAACTTATTAAGGAAGCAGGACTCCTCTGTTATCTCTGCATCTCCAGAGCCCACTAGAATGTAAGCCTACCTACTCTACACTCAATAAAAATGTGAGTGAATAAAGGCTTCAAGTGAGATCCCCTGATCGCCCAGGCTGGGTAAAGAAAGTTCCAATTGCCAGGTCTATGCACTGGGGTTTGCAACTCGGTGGGTCTGTTTTGGTTCACGAGTCTGCATTTAACCAGCAGCTTCCATGATTGTTTCAACCTAGCCAGTTTTTGAATAATCGCACTTGCAGATAATCTATAAAATGTTCTCTCCGCGTTTATACAGCAGCTCAACAAGCATTCCACCATACAGCCTGACCCCACAGCTGCAATCTCAGCCTCGGCACTCTGCTTTCAAAGACCCGCAAGAGTGAGCATGAAAAGTGAGTTAAACCTGTAGTTGGAACTAAAACAAAACTGCTAAGCTTATATTTTTCTCATTAATATAGGCTTGTGTCTCTCAGCAAATTGCGTGTGGCCAAGAATTACGAGGTAGGTTGCAAATGAGATTATTTGCCAGTGATGGTTAAATAGCAATGTTTGCAATTTTTTTAAGATAAAATAAGGATAGATTTAAAGATACCAATACCACAGGCACGCTTATATACTTCCCACCAGTTTTTCTAAGGTGTGTACTGTAGACGTGATTGTGACTGATACCCGCCATAGGATTCTCGGTGCAATAAACGTTGAATGCTACCCCAGGAAATACGAACGCTCCATCTGATTTCTGCCAACTCTAAGTGATGTTCAAACACAACTTTTTAAAGTAAAAAATAAAATGTTTCTTTATAAATTCCAGTCCCAGTAATTTACAACTTATAATGATCCAGGAATATATGGGATTTTTATCTTTTCAGCTGCTATAACAAATAGGTTTTGCAAATTTATTCTGTGAAAGCAATATTGAAAAGAAGATATTTAATGTTTAGGATTTTTACTTTTATTTTATTTCAGACTAGTTTTCCTCTGATCTTTTAAACAAAATAACTGCAAAGTATATAAAAATGTTAGGAATCCTATTAGAGTAACATTTTAAAACTTGTCTCTAATGTTGTAAATATTATAATTTTAGTTTTCATGACTATGTATTGTTTTTGCTAACCTCTTAATAAGAGATGACATGTGTCCAAATACCAACATTCTGACTATCTCCTGAATATTTAAACACAAAATGGATTTTTAAAATGGACTATTCTGTAGTAGTTTTTCAGTATGCTATTAACTTATTGCAATATAAAGATTTTTTTTCAATCTGTGTTAAATCTGATATTGACACATTCCAATTAGTTGAATTACCTAAATATGTATTGGTATTTTTGAATGTGTGTTTTTGTGATCCTAAACATTTCTTAAATCCAATGACGAAAACAGTAAATAACTGTTCTATACACATTTGAATCTTTAAGGATTAGGGGTAAACATACTTTTGTGAATTTTTGATCCTAATATAAAATGTTAATATATAAATACATCAGAAACTGAACAGTCTAGAAGCCAATCCACTGGATGATTTTGTTAATTTTTTTTTAAAGAAAAGTTGGCAAAATCAGAAGTTGAATTTACTAAAATTAGCTGTTTGTATTAACTCTGAATTTGCAAACTCATCACTTTGTTCTCCTATGTTTTCCATAGTTGAGTGTTTCCATTTTATGGAATTAGTATTATGATTTTAACAAGAATTTAAACTTGTCAAAAGAACTGTCAAATAAATAAATGATTTTGCTGTTGTGCAAAAGAATAATCCACATACAAAATCAGTACTCATAAATCCAAGGTAAGGTAGATGCTAAATAATTCATCACATCTACTTCCTTATTAAAGAGAAACCATACTGTCCTTTCATTACAAAGTTTTAATAAGTAAAAAATAGCCCTCACCTAAGCTATACAAATAATAGTGTTCTGTTGATGTGCCTAAAATTATAACACCTATTGAAAATAAATAAACATTTGCTAGGCTTGCTTAAGGAAGTTAAGAAACAGACCAGGAAAAAAAATCATCTGTTGCTTTTCGTTGAGAATTTCAATAAGCTCTTCTTTCCAGTGCTATCAGATCAAGTCTACCAAGGCAGGAAACTTCCAACTTTCTTTTTAATGCCTAGGAGTGGTAGGTTGAGTAAGAAACTTATCTAATTACTGATTGAATAAAAAACATAATTTCCCCCAGCTTTATGAGAGAATTAATTTATGTATCATCTCATTAAGTAAAAAATGAAGTTGGAATACATGAAGTTGATCTGCATCCACTTCAATTTTCAACATTAACATCCTGTGAAAATTTATTTTTTTTATTTTTTATTTTTTTTTAAAGATTTTATTTATTTATTTGAGAGAGAGAGAATGAGAGAGAGCACATGAGAGGGGGGAGGGTCAGAGGGAGAAGCAGACCCCCTGCCGAGCAGGGAGCCTGATGCGGGACTCGATCCAGGGACTCCAGGATCATGACCTGAGCCGAAGGCAGTCGCTCAACCAACTGAGCCACCCAGGAGCCCCCATGTTGTGAAAATTTAATAACAAAATACCTATGACTGGAAATTTGTATCAACTGTTTTCAGCCCACATTCCCTTTAGAGACATTTTACAGTACATACAAATGATTACTGACACTTAAACTGAGGATTTAAACTTAAATACAACTGGTGGAGATAAAACAAGGTGATACTGATTTAAAATTAAATTTGACAAACTGCAAAATCAGTGAAGACTTATATGCAGGTAGCTTTTTACAATGGGAGAAACAATATTTATGGAGACTTTACTGCTTTAAAGATAAAGATGATTTCAAAATCTAATGATCATGAAATAACTGTTATAATAACCTCCCCTGCATGACATGAACAGACATTTTATGACCCTTTTCATATTTTTATTATTTTTGATATATGGACATTTTAAGATACAAAGTTCGAAGTATCTATTACAATTTAAGACCCCAGATATTCTCAAACATAGCAATGAAATAGATGAAGAAAGATTAAATCATATCAACTGTGGAT